GTTCATTATTTTCGAAAAGCGTGACAAACTTGATAGGAGAAACATTTAGGAAACCCCATAAAGACCGTACTGTTTCTTAAAGCGCAGATAATAAAAAAACTTCTGTAACCAACCCATAAGCCATCAGTCAACTACTAAACGATATGTAGTCAGACCATAGAAATCCACCCCAGCTAAGAAACCATATAGTCATTGTCGAATATCCTCTATCCGCTCACCATTCGATCTATTTATTGCACTCATACGTTATAAACCTATTTTTTACTTGATCGTCAAACCCCTTCCCCTCTGTAATTAACAGATTTTTTATCTCGATGATTTATTAATTTATTTCCTATTATATGTAACCCACCTCATGATTAATTACCTTAACGTCCTTTGAACAAAGCTTGGTCACGGACATTCAGACTTGTGTTCTGACTATGAAAAACTCTCGCTCCAATTGTCTTTGTTTGACTATTCATCAGACCTTGTTGAATCATTTTTGTATCATGATCGTGAAAGGTATCCTAACAGGGAGCGCTATGACTAGTTATTTATCCATCATCTAATTATCTTTCCTAATAGATGATGGTAAAGTGGACAACAGGTTCTTTTCTTAAACTCACGGATTACTAGCGTGGTTTCTGCTTGTGGAACTCTGCCTAGAGTCCTTTTCGGGGGGCTACTGCCGGTCCCAAGCCCGGATAAAGGAGGAGGGTTGGGCATGAGGTTAGCGATCCCATCCCGTAGAAAACTAACTCGCTAAAAAGACGCTAACCAGAAAAAATTATTCAAACCATTTAAACTCTTCCCTGGTAGTCAGAAGGTCTTCGTTTAGAAGAATTATGACGCCTCATGATGAAAGCCGAGTTTCTTCGGAAGTCACGAGACCGATGCCCCTTCTGGCAACCAGAGCAACCATTTATTTAGGTACATGGAATGCTCGCACTATGTGAGAGACTGGGAGAGTTTTCCAAATTGCTGTAGAAATGAGGAGATACAACCTAGAGGTGCTTGGGATCAGTGAAACACATTGGACGCAAGTTGGACAACAATGACTAGCTTCAGGGGAGCTGCTGTTATACTCCGGACATGAAGAAGAAAATGCCCCACATACACAAGGAGTTGCATTAATGCCATCCAAACAAGCACAAAATGCACTTATAGAATGGGAATCTCATGGACCAAGGATCATCAAAGCCTCCTTCAAAACAAAGAAAAAGGGCATTACAATGAACGTCATACAATGCTACGCGCCTACCAACGACTACAATGAAGACGCTAAAGATCAATTCTACGATAGACTGCAGTCAATCGTCGAGAAGTGCCCAACAAAAGACCTGACCATTCTGATGGGAGACCTAAATGCCAAGGTGGTAATTGACAACACCGGATATGAAGACATCATGGGACGACACGGACTCGGAGAAAGGAACCAAAATGGTGAGAGATTTGCAAATCTATGTGCCTTCAATAAACTGGTCATAGGCGGGACTATATTCCCACATAAACGCATCCACAAAACCACATGGACTTCACCGGATCCTACCACACAGAACCAAATCGACCATATCTGCATCAACAAAAGTTCAGGAGGACGATGGAGGATGTGAGAACCAAGAGAAGAGTTGATATAGCATCAGATCATCACTTGCTGGTCACCAAGATGAAATTGAAGCTCAAGAAGCACTGGACAATGGGGAGGATAATATCACAAATGTTTAATACGGCTCTTCTTCGGGATAATGACAAACTCAACAAATTCAAGATAACCCTCAACAATAAGTTCCAGGACTTTCATGATCTACTCAATGGAGAACGAACTACTATGGAGAGCGACTGGAAAGAGATAAAAGAGGCAACCACTTCAACATGTCATGAGGTTCTGGGCCAAAAGAAGCATCATCACAAGGATTGGATCACGGTCGATACACTGGATAAGATCCCAGAAAGGAGGAACAAGAAGGCAGCAATCAATACCAGCCGAACAAGAGCAGAAAAAGCCAAGGCACAAACTGAATACACAGAAGTAAACAAGCAAGTGAAGAGGAGCATCAGAACTGACAAACGTAAATATGTGGAAGATTTAGCAATGTCGGCGGAAAAGGCTGCCAGAGAAGGAAACATGATACAACTGTATGACACAACAAAGAAACTCTCTGGAAATCACCATAAACCAGAACGACCAGTGAAAAGCAAGGAAGGCAAGGTAATCACCAACATTGAAGAACAACGAAACAGGTGGGTAGAACACTTCAAAGAACTCTTGAATTGACCAGCCCCACTGAACCCACCCAACATCGAAGCAGCAATCACGGACCTCCCAATTGGTGTTGGCCCACCAACAATTGAAGAGATCAGCATGGCTATCAGACAAATCAAGAGTGGCAAAGCAGCAGGACTAGACAGCATTCCAGCAGAGGCACTGAAAGCAGACGTAGCGGCAACTGCAAGGATACTCCACATTCTATTCAGAAAGATCTGGGATGAGGAACAGGTGCCAAAAGACTGGAAGGAAGGACTTCTAGTCAAAATACCAAAGAAAGGCGATCTCAGCAACTGTGACAACCACAGGGGAATCACTCTTCTCTCAATACCAGGAAAAGCCTTCAACAGGGTATTGTTAAACAGGACGAAGGACTACGTAGACGCCCAACTTCGCGACCAACAGGCAGGATTCCGTAAGGATAGATCGTGTGCAGACCAAATCGCAACTCTTCGGATCATTGTGGAGCAATCAACTGAATGGAATTAATCGCTCTACACCAACTTCATTGACTACGAAAAGGCATTTGATAGCGTGGACAGAACAACCCTATGGAAGCTTCTTCGACACAACGGCGTGCCTGAGAAACAGTCAATGTCATACGGAATTCCTATGATGGATTAAACTACAAAATCGTTCATGGAGGACAGTTGACAAAGTCGTTCGAAGTAAAGACCGGTGTCAGGCAAGGTTGCTTACTCTCACCCTTTCTCTTTCTCCTGGTGATCGACTGGATCATGAAGACATCAACATCTGAAGGAAGCACTGTATACAGTGGATAGCTAGAATGCAATTGCATGATCTAGACTTCGCAGATGATCTGGCTCTTCTATCGCACACACAACAACAAATGCAGGAGAAGACGAGCAGTGTAGCAGCAGCCTCAGAAGCAATAGGTCTCAATATACACAAAGGAAAAAGCAAGATTCTCCGATACAACACAGCATGCAAAAATCCAATCACAATTGACGGAGAAGATTTGGAAGACGTAAAAATCTTTACATATCTGGGAAGCATCATTGATGAACATGGTGGATCTGATACAGACATGAAGGCGTGGATCGGCAAAGCAAGAGCAGCATATTTACAAGTGAAGAACATCTGAAACTCAAAACAACTGTCAACCAACACCAAGGCCAGAATTTTCAATACAAATGTGAAGACAGTTCTACTGTATGGGGCGGAAACCTGGAAAACTACGAAAGCCATCATCCAGAAGATACAAGTGTTTATTAACAGTTGTCTACGCAAAATACTTCGGATGCGTTGGTCAGACACTATCAGGAACAACCTATTGTGGGAGAGTACAAACCAGATTCCAATGGACGAAGAAATTAGGAAGTGCTGGAAATGGATAGAACACACATTGAGGAAAGTACTCAACTGCGTAACAAGACAAGCCCTCACATAGAATCCTAATGGTCGGAGGAGAAGAGGAAGACCCAAGAACACGTTACTCCGAGAAATGGAGATAGACATGAGAAAAGTGAACAAGAATTGGATGGAACTAGAAAAGAAGGCCCAGGACAGAGTGGTTTGGAGAATGCTGGTCGGCGGCCTATGCTCCATTGGGAGTAACAGGCGTAAGTTCTGCTCGTGGATTTATCCAAAACTAAAATACTTATTCTCTAGCCTCCACTTTGGTTTCCCTATTCAACATAGTCAGAAGCACGATGGATCAGCAATGTTAGGGAAATTAAATCTTGCGACTGTGTTAGACCAATACATCTTTAGGATTTAGATCATCCACGTCAAGCTAAAAGCAACGATGAGTCTACATAAGTAGGAATCTTAAATAAGTCGACTCCGCTTTACAAGCTGAAAACAAACTAGTCATACTTTTGAAGTTTACCTTACACATTTGCTAAAAAACGGTTATACTGAATTAATTAATCCTTCCTATATGTCCAAAAGGTAGGAATTAATAAATGGATCCACCGAATACTTATAATTGGGTCTTAAAAACACAAGAATGAGGGGGTTGAATGATTCAGTTTTTAAGTCTTTTATGAAAAGATAGACTGCTTATGGCACATACCAAACGTGGAGTGGTCAGTAAACATTCTGTCTATCTAAACTAATGTTGTAAATTATAAACCGTAAAACTCACCTTTGAAAATGCAATACTGATATAGTTCCTGACAAACGTGATTTCTAAGTTACCAACACATAGAGCTCATGTAACTCCGTTACAAAAGCCAAAATATCATCTATTTCTTTAAGTAGTTAGTATACAATTAGCAGCTTTAAAATATGGATAAAAAAGGAATGACATCCCGTTGTATACACGACGTCTAGAGACACCGTTCTCCAACAGATTAATTCAAAGTGAAATCACTTCAGATGAAATGAATGTTTGGTATTTAGAAGTACTGAAATAATTTATATGGGTTACACACAGTGGTATTTGAGTATGCGATGAAATCAAAACCCTGCTTATCCTAGGTGGCTGAAAGTAATGAACAGGAACCGCAAGAACTAAGTTTCGCTCTAATCGATACCGTCCAATAAAATGTATTTGAAATCAAAACGGATTATGTTATTTTAAGGGACTCTAACCCGACCAATAAAATTAGGTCTGTCTGTACTATGAAGGGATTAAACAGAATGGTCTACCACTAAATAATCAATTCATTTAATACTAGTACATTCACAACTTAAAGGCAAGCTGCTTTATTCGCTTTTATCAGTAGTCAGCTTCTGATTAGTTGTCGAAACCTGAGCAATGTAATAAGAACAGTCGATATGTTGGATAAAATTAGCTTTAAAAACGTATTACTCGTACACCAGTTTTCATTTATATGACCGGAAAACAAATTATACGAAATGTTAGTATATTTTCATTGGTTAAATGGTGGTCAACTCCCTAAAAAAAGTCTACTATAAAGAATACATTTGTATAATGCGCCTTTCCCTATGAAACACATATGATAATAATTGTACTAAATAAACCCCTTCTAAATCAGTTAAATACACTATTGCAAATGAATTCAATTTAATAAATAAACTGTAATCCGAAAATTTACAAAGTAATAATATCACGTGTATTGTGAACTGTTTACCGAAATTTTAAAAAATGTACATTATATTTGAAGTGAAGTCATATCACCATTGTCATAGTTAAATAATACATAAAGTGAAGAGACCAAAATCCATTTGTCTGTTATGCAATAATTAGTCACAAAATTAATTGTGAGCAAAAATATAAATAACAAACACTGAGGAAAAAAGGATTGACAATCCATTAATGTGAACATGGAAATGAAGAAAGAAGTAAACAATGAACATACATCCTGAAATTTCAAAATAGCAACTAATGAATGTAATCCACATGCTATCAAAACAAAAAAACGCTTGAAAATTTATATTTCTGAAGCATCTGTATAGATCTGTTGATAATGCACAAATTTGACAAATAGACAAAATAAAAAGACAATCATGATAATAGTGTAGAATATAATAAACATCAAATGATTTGCAAGATTCAAACAGACAGAAGAGGGTAGGAAAGCAGAAAGGAAGGGAAGAATAAAGCTACAGTGAACAACGATGACCCACCACGTTTTCATCCAAAAGTGAGCTTTGAGAAAAAAAGAAGAAAAAGAAATATACGAGGAATATACTTCGAATATAATTCAAAATATACACGAATAGAAACAGTCATTTTAAATTACTGATTTCATCGGAACGATCAAGTTTCTCGAGTTTACAAACACAAACATAACCTGAATATATTGTTAACCACTTAAATGAAATTGTATTGTATTACCCTTAGAAATGTGGATGAACTGGGTTTAACACCGAAGATAAATGATCGAGTTACTATACAATCACTGGTTCTTCCTCCCAAATCTTCCTGAAGAGAGCACAGAACACTAATACAATTACCTCGATGTCTGGCTTTAGTGTTTTAGTCAATATATTGTTCAGTCCTGCTGCCGTCCCCCTCTCGATCTGTCCGATGGCTACACTGATTTCTTTAGTTGCTGGTAGGTCTGCGTGTGTTGCTTCGATGTTCAGTGGGGCTGGCCTATTCAAGAGTTCTTTAATGTGTTCTACCCATCTGTTCCGCTGTGCTGCACCTATACCTATATTGATTGTTAGAAGAGGGATAAGCCTTGTGGCTTTCGAAGAATCACAGCTTTCACCATTAGATGTCATAACATTTCTATATGAAGGCCTTTCAAATCCCAGGACAGAGTTTAGATGGTTTAAATGACCATTTCTAGTTAGTGTTTTTTGAGCAAGGTCCTCTCCTACCAAATACGTTTGCTAATCTTACACCCAACCCTCCTTCACCTGGGTTGGGACCGGTAGTAATTCTAGAAGGGTCCCAGAAGGAGCCTTTCTATTATTATCTTACTCTGAATAGTTGAAAAAACGATTGGTAAATTTATCTTGAGAACTTGAATATACTCATTTTTCAATAACTTACAATTTCAAGGAATTTCTTAAGTAGTATCATTAGCTAGTTTTAACAAAATACAATAAGTTTAAGTATATTTGAAACTATTCATTGAAAATTTTGTTCAGTAGAACAATAAACTGCTCCTAGTTAAACTATTTAAGTCAACCAAAACTGTCAATTTACCTATCTCTACTAACTCATACCAAAGACAGTAAAAAAAATTTCGACGACAGTAGTAAAACCGAATAAAATGAATTGAGGATTAAATATTACGTTTGATTAAGGAAAATAACCGATTACAGATCTTAAAAGCTTACTTCGAACGCCATAAAAGGCAAGCGTACGCAACAGCCGAGACATAATCAGTAGAGAAGCATATTACTTTAATGGAGAAAAATGAAACAATAAGAAATGTTTGGATGTTTAATATTAAACTAAAAGTAGAAAATAAACTCATAAAAGGATATAACACTAATATCGAGTTCATTAATATCTGACCCGATTGTCACAAAGTGCCAAATAAAATAAGTAATAAAGGATAAATAGATATTCTAGTATAGCATACCCGACTTCCGAACCACCAAGTGATAAGCTTTTCAACATTATTTTGGTATTTCGTACCTAAACAAGTGATGTTAGTATGTAATGAAAACTATTTTCAAGTCTCTTTATCAAACTTTTCTCTGCATTGCTTAGTCATGACTGATACGCAAAGATTGGCCACTTATATTTTTATTGAGTTATTCACATTGTAACTGGATTAAACTGTTAAATTAAAATTTATTTCTAAAATAACACTCAAAGTATAACATTGTCTTTGATTCATATGATCTAGTTAACTTTACTGAATTCTGAAAGGTAGTTAATTTGTTAGACATCCTATCACAAAGCTTTAGTCCCTTTATAATAGGGTAAATTATACACAAACTCACAATTGCTAACATACGTAAAGAAACCATTTAAAAATGTGTATACCTGATAACATTCTTTAGAGTTGTTTGTTACCACTAACAGTCTAAAAATCATGTTAAATAAAATCATTCTGAGTTGGCGAAACAAAACGTGTATATCAAAAAATCTAGCATACCGAGAAAAACTCTGATAGCAGTTAACCACGGTATTATTAATCTAAAGATCCATATACGAGGTACATATCCCCAAAGTACATGAGAAATTATAAACCACGTAACCAAAATAACTTTACAAGTTAAGTGATCATAACCCATTAATTTGCCATAAAAAAGTTGACTACGCTTAGAAACTACCTATTCATTGGTTCTTTAATAGTCTCTAGCACATCAACATCAGTAAATCGTTATTTATAAAATTCGCCCCTCAAAATTTAACTGAAAATTACACATTTTTTGAAAAGATCTAAAGAATATTCAATGTTAATCCACATTCAGCAACATACATATTCTGGCTAGTTCATTATGTAATCATAATACATATTAAGGATTAATAATGAGAATTTCATAGTTGTGAAATCAAATTGACTAACTAAACTTTCATCTCATAAAGATAAAAGTTGACTATAGTCAATTGTAGTTTCAAAGATTCTTCACATGTCTAATAATAAACAAACAAATAATATTCAATGGATATCTAGTTAGATGGATGATAATGGAAGCAATAGACACTTGACAATTTAATAAATTATAAAATACAAAATCCATACAAACCAATAGTGTCATGCAATGAAGCAATAAAAATCTTTATTAAAAAAAGTCAGATGAGTTCAAACTAATCAATAGTGTAATTTTTTTCATGTTCATGTCACTTCATGTTGAAATATGACACAAAAAAATACTTCTAAGAAATGAGATAATCCAATAAAGTCAATCATAATAAGAAATTACATTCAACACTATTATAATATGTTCACCTAGATAACGATGAACAAATGAATGTTTAGAAATAGATTGTAATGTTGAAGATAGATAATTTCCTTGAAATATTATCAAGCTAACTAATATTTCCACACTTAATTCAAACTACATCTATCACATTTTAAACTCATACAATCATTATAAAGATTCTCATTTTTAATTGTTTGAATTGCAAGGTTAAATTTCTAAATGGAGTGGTCAGTGATTATAGAATTTCGGAGTGTAGTTTTAACTGTTTTATTATTTGACAAAAGTTAATAACTAATAGATCAAACTCTCACTAAGATTTTTTAATGGATTGAACTTTAATGACTTTTTCTGAGAAGTTACTGTGTACATTTCTACAGTATCAACTGTCTAGGCATTTGTCTTGATAATTACATTTCACTATGCTGATGTGACAACCTGAACTGATGTACACATCCAATAGGTTCTACGTTACTTATGACTGGTGTTTACAGTATATTATTTGTAATATATTATTCAGTGATTTCTTGTAAATAAATATATTCACACTGTACCAGTGACACAAACTAGTGTCTTATGAGTGGACATAAGTGTTGTCAGAGACTCAAGTGATTACATTAATATAAAAATTCCAATAAATAATCAGGTACAGTTAATAAAACTAGCCACTTACGCTAGCTAACTAATCAATCTACTTCTCACAAATAATAAACCAAATACGTATATACATTACTGTTTACTTGACAATTTGAGAGATTACCTCTTATAGTATTCGAGTATCTTTCCAAGAATTTGTTATTTTCACTTCCTATGTTCACAATAGACTAGGTGATTTCTGAGAAACTATACCTTAAGATATCAACAGTTCACGAAGGTAGTGTCAAATTTAGAACCAAGTTTATTTTTTAGCACCTGCCAAAGGGAAACCGTGTTAATTGAGTGAACAGAACAACTCTCTCCAATATAGTACGAAAAACTGAGTAATTATTATTTAGTACCCATATGAAGGTTTCTATCCTAAGCTACAATATATAAAATTGTAGACGTCATTGAAACTAACCTCCAAGTTAAATAAAGTCGAGTGAACCGACTTTTGGTTGGCACCTTAGAACTGAGTATTAACATTAGTGAGCCGATTTTTAATGTATATTGATAACATTACACTCAAAGATATAAAAAAGATGTAGCATAGGATTTGTGTATTATTTCAAAAACATTGGTGTGTTTGGTAAAAGTCGATACTTTTAACTTAACAACAAAGTTCATTTACTTAGCTTATCATCAAACTTCCCATACAAGGGTTTGTTATATATACTACATTGTAAAAATGAAGTACGTGGGGGGAACAGTCAAAAGTCAAGGTAGCAAAAGCTAACAAAAAAATAAAATGACTTTACCAACTACGAAATTCAACTTCAGATAAATACTTACTTGATATAGTTTTTGTTCGCCACAAGGGAGATACACTAGTCTCACCGATAAACACTACTAATGGTAAGATAACAATCCACAGGAGATAACCAGCGGCAAATTGCATTGTATTAATATTTGGGCCCAAGATACATAAATCCATATTGTACGACTCAGAGCAAATTTGTGCTATAAAATGCCTGCGTCCTACAACTACTAATATCCAGAACACTAGGCAAATTCTTAAAGCTAACAATAAGCAACCAGGCACTGTATTCCAAACAGAAAAATCGATTACAGGGTCTCTATCAAACTAAAAGAGATAAGAAAAAATGAACCGTTACAGAGAATGTCTTACAAGTAATTTAATTAATTTTAATTGAATTAAGTCTAGTCACAAGAAACGTTGCATAATAATTTTATCATTAAAGAGTGACTTAAAATGGAGTTGAATATATTTGCTCGGTGATAATTCTATAAGTTGTCCGCAACGTACTGTCTTTTGTAATTTATTTAGTTATTTAATCTAATAAGAACTTACGAAGAGAACTAACTATGCACCATTAGTGGATACATAGTTGAAACAATTAATCATCTCCGTTTTTAAGCAACGTTAACACAATTAAATTAAGTAATAACAACAAGAGACCAACTGCGAACGTTCGTCAACATAAGTTTTCTTTAAATCAGTATAAATGACAAAAGCAATTGACAACATGAAAGGCAAACAAGTCAAAATAACAATTTTAATCATAGTAAAACTAGGAATATAGGAAGTATAATTTGAGAAGAATGAATGGAATCGGAAAAAGAAAAGCATTGATTAGCATTAAAACTCAAAATTTAGAAAAAGTTGAAGAATTAATAGTATTCCGGTTGAGTATAAACCATTTTACCAAAAGTATTCGCAACTACGGATTACAAAATATGTAAGTTACACTGAGGTTGATAAAATCACTGTAAAACAATAAATCATACTTTAGACTATCACTGGTGAAATCTTTAAGTTTGTTTTTTTCTCTATTAAAAAATTAGTAGTGTTCTTTAGGTTGAAACTGATAATTTTACAAATAAACCATTCAACTCATGAAATAAAATATCCCCACAATAATACCTTCCAATAAATAAAATGCCATAGCAGTTACCTGAATGGTTGTTGTCATCTACAATATTTATTAATAAGAGAAAGGATCTTGCATAATGAATAAAAAGAACTCTTATTAATTCTAGTTAATGAGAATAACGATGAAAATATTCTCTAGAATAATAGTAATAATAACTAAACCTTTAAATAATTTGATCATAAAATTACCAAATTTTCACAACAACTAGTTACAATAAAATTTCTTTTATTTTTTCCGAACTGACCCTATTGGAAAATGTTGACCATTCAATGTTAATGCTTATGATCCTATGTTTACACTATGGCACTGATAGTAGAGAATGATAATCGGTTTAAAATTATCAAAATGAAGACTCTGTATGCGTTTTTTTCCTTGTGACTAAGCAACCCACTACAGATGGGAGTGTTTGGTTGAAGTCACAATCTGTGTGAAAGACAGAAATACTGAAGGACTTCTCAAACTAAAGCACCCGTGCTAAAGTTCGAATCTCTTTACCCCGTTCCAATGATTAAAAATCAAATACTTCAACAAATAAGCTACCGCTTAAATTGATATGCATAAAAAGAAAAAATTAACTGAAATTCTACTCTACCACTTCAAAAACTCGCGAGCAATGAGAAGTTGGCAGTCACAAAAGTGATTTCTCAGTTATAAAGTCGGTTAAAAAGGGAGAAGCTTGTCTAAATTATTGGACAAACAGAAGAGTCAGAAATCTGGTCAGAGTAATAGGTTACAAAACATTGACAATTTACTTGAATCTTTAAAGTCATCTAACATTTTTGCTTTACAATAAATATTTACTAGAAACTGTTCACTTTCCAATTGGTGATTGATAGTTATCATAAAAACAAACACTTAGGTTGTAACTAGTGAATAACTTCATAAACACCAAGTTTATATTACAACTGTAGAAATATTACAAGTAATCGTTATTAGCAATCAATATAGTCTGAGTCTTTCACAAACAAAATCCAAACATTTCGTCCATCGTAGTTTTCTCCAAGAAAATAAATGTACATTCATTGAGATTCTATTTCCGACATGTATTGAAGGCATCTCTCGTATATGACTATTGGTCAGTGATACTTATGCTTCAGGACCACATCGACCGCTTTATATCAAATTCTGGCGCTACAATGAGTACAACAATACATTTCACATAAGTACATACAAACATTAAGAGGGAAAAGTATGAACTAGAAATAGTAGTATCGACAGTAGCAGAAAGCAAAAAACTCACCATAGCCCACATATACAGTAAAGTTTTGACTCCGACCAACAGAGTAACCAATAAAATTACATATGGCCAAAATGACGTGGACTTTTCCTGATTAGTTGATGGCCTAGCATAAATATTTTCTTGGATAGGATCGTAACTGTACAATTTATGACTAAATTTACCAAGATGGAGGAATCCGGTAGGTAAAGTGGAAAAAACTTTGGAGGTTAGTGGACGAAGAGCTTTGGAAGTATCACAAGATTGGAATGCGATTGACGGACATTGGGGACTGAAACCCATTTGACATGTACACAGTAGAACAGCTAGGAACACTGAGTCTGCCCATTGTGTAATTACTGTTCCCAGCTCTGAAATCAGACCTAGTCCTCGACCATCGAATGAGAAAACACCCCAGTGAACAGCAGCCAACAGTGTCCCCAGACTAGCCAACCAAAGATGAATAAGGTAGAGGCAAACATGAAGTGAACAGTTGTTGGTCAGTTTGATCTGCATTAGGCAAAACAAAATTGCTTAGTAACAATAAAACAGAACAACGATAATAAGCTGTCTACACAATTCTCTAAAAAGGTCACCGGTTAAACTAGGAATTATTTTGTGTAAATCTGACCAATAAAGAACTGATGCCAATAGAGTAAAAAAATATAAATGTTATTAACATCGTCAATAAAACAATATCGACGAATGAATCAAGGAATATAGCCAAATAGTAATGGGCAGGAAGAATATACATCTTGATTAACAGATGCTTTTTCTTTTGATATATTACAAAAGGGTTTTGTGTTTGGGGATGAGAAGTGAATTTCAAGCATTTCAGCATTGCTACTTAGCATTCAGAAGATTGGATCAAATCGGGATATTCACGTATTACAACGGTGCTGCATACGTGCTCCTCGATACATGAAAACCAAATATATATGAGAAAATTTAATCAAATCGAGTGATGGACAACAATAATGAGCAAATCTTGATACAGTCACGTTAGACCATATTTAACCGTGAGCTACAACCCCACCACGAATTTTTAAGCAAAAGGCCTTCAGTAATATGGTTTTCTTGCAAAGCACCGACCTTGATGTAATAGAACTTTATAAGCTTTTTCAATCAACAGTGTTATGTCTTCAAACAAAGGAATATAGTTAGGGCCAGACGTAAACTACCAACCGAGTATTCGTACCAATAATCCCCGATTGAGATAGGCGTTGTTTCCATAACTTTTATCCTAATCATCCAACAATTTTTATTCTTAATAATCTCAATTTTTTCAACTATGAGCGTACCGTTGAATAAGGCGCTTGCATCCTAGAAAGCTAGTTCTCAAGGATGCCAAAAATTCTATAACTACCTGCTTATTTTCTCCTGTATCAAAGTCAATTGGGTACACTATTTGCTCTTCTTTGTTTTTTAAGTAATCGAGGTACAAGTACAAGATTGGCTGAGGTGTTTTGTGTTGCAGTAACACTTGTGCTGAGATTTTGATTGGCGTAGTATGTGATGATAACACCCTCACTTAAAAACGCTTATGTCTACACTCCATAATAATAATATATAACAATTAACACACTTCGAAAATAGCTCCTTCACTTCTTTCCAGCAAAAAATGCTAACACTCAAGCCATAGAATAGTTTACTTTATTTAAATTATTTGCTAGTTTTTGATGAATTGTTACTAACCATATGCTACGAGAAATCATATTTAAAAAGCTTAAACGAATATTTTTCTCTTTAAACATGTAACGACACCTAAATCACTACAATACTTGAGCATAATAATAAATTATAAACAGCCAGTTAAAACGTACATGTGCTGTTATATTCAAAATAATATAGAGTGACAAAAATATAAAAAACATTTGCGCGATTCCATGTGTTTCAAAAGAGAAATGATGTTCAAATTGATTGAAAGACTGTAATTTTGGTTCACCATTAACAAGCCATATATCATAAATCAATGTTAATAAAGAATAAGTTGATGACGATGAATTTGAATGGCGAGGAATCGCAGTAGTCTCCCATTTACATGTAGTTAAATTACGTTTACACGCGACCAAACTCAAATACCAATAACTTTATATAAAAGGGAAAATAAATCTAAATTCTAATTATACTAATCAATGAAAATCAATTTCGAAAAATTTCATTTCTTCTATATTACGTCAACTATCAAATTGAAAATGAACTTTGCCAATTATCATAAGACGGAGAAAATTGCAGTTACTTAGCTACCGAATAAATTTATTATTTATATTCTAATTACTAACTTGAAGGATGAATCAATACAAAATTCTGGTAAATGTTGCATTTTACTTGTAAAAGACGTATAACAAAAATATATGGTGTTTTTAACTTTACCGCATGTAACCGTATTATCATCTAATGATAGGTAGCATTCATCGACACTTTACTGCGTTCATTTTTTGTGGATAGTATGAATGAAGCACAAGACTTACTTATCACACATTGTTTCCTATTATATGAATAAATGATTCTTAATTCAGCATAGAAAGTCTGGGATAATCTTGCTATGAATTCAAAAATACTGCATTTCATTTTAAAAGTTTCTTTCTAACATGAATTTTGCTTTGATTTTATTAATCTTCATCTCAAAAATCTTAGCCATTATTTGCAGATAGTAACCAAAAAATTTCCGTTTACTTTGGTGTATGGAATTTTTTTATTCAATCTATCTGAGACATTGAGTCAATCAAAAACCAACCAAATGATAAGTGAACGTGATTGGTCAATGAATGGATTGTATTTATACGATATATATATGAGTACGTATATTCTCATCTAGACTTAGTCAACAAACTTCCTTCTCAGCCTCTTTTTACTCTTTTTACTCAAGAAGCCAGTTGGACTCGTGTATAAGAAGATTGCGTATCAGTATCGAATTCGGAGACCGAACGTCACAACGCTGTCCAATTCCCGAATACTTTGAAATCATTTTTAATATTCCCTCACGTTTTACAACAAATGTAGGTAAAAAAAAACAACATAAGAACAAGTTCAATCGTAATGAAATGTTTTCTAATTGATATCAAAATCCAAAGAAAATTCAAAAAACAAATAATAATACTAAGGGTGATGAAGAATATAAAGACGATGGAAAAAGGTAAACACATGAAATTAAAAGCAACAAACAGAACGTTCGAAAACAAGAGAAAATCAGTGGACGATAACCAGTTACTGCATAGTGACTAGTTACTAGTGTTGATCGAATTACACCAAGTTTGTAATGTGGTCAAACAAGTGAGCATGTATTGTGATGAAGTTGGTTTCATTTCGCGTAATTGATGCCAGCCGGTGGAAAGCTTTAGGACTAAGCTTTTGGCTTGTTGGGATTTATAAACACGCTAAATGGCGAGAACATTATACATTGTAGATCAGTTTCTATACTGATTCTGATTCAGACACGGAAAATTCTTCACCTAAGTTGAACAATCAAAAATATGAGTTTCTGCCTGAAACTACCCACAACTTTAGCTGCATATAAAAAATCATCCCATTTATTTGAGGAATGTACATGTACATATCTGAGCTATATCTTTCAAAAATAATTAAAATAGGAATTATACACAACAAATGGTTGAGTAAAGTTTGTTTACAAACATTTATGTAATTAAATAAATCAACTCATTCTCCAGGTGCTTGAGTATGAGCCACACTTCAAGTATGAAGGTTAGTGATACTACCTGGTTGCCCAAATTGAAACAAAGTCCGGACCTGGAACTTAGTGACTGAAAGTCAAACATCCACCACCGATTTATTCAATGGTACGAATGTGACACGGACATACATATGTATGCGGTGGAATTGACAATGAAATGCGAAACAGCAAAAACCTATAAACAAATAACTATAATTTAGTCATTTTGTACTACGAGGTTTTATTAGTAATAAATAACCTATGGTTTTTATAAGTTAGATGATAAAACCTGGTAAGATGAAGCACGATTTTTCCAATTCAATTGGTTACAATTTCTCACTCCATAACGTGAAAATTGACAGGAGAACAAAATAAAATACTAGGCATCTTAAAATGGCAACAACTGCACAGGTCTTTGGTACATCTAATACCTAAACAATATCCAAAGCATTTAATTGTGACTACCTTATCACACAAGAACATTACACGATTTTTAAATTATCAATTCAAATAAAATACACAAAACAATGAACCAATTAATTGACTTTATGTACAATCGAAATTGATTGAATTTCAGAAAAAAACACACGACATTTATACGAACCGTGGTTGCCGAAGGTCTTGCACAACAAAAGTAAATTGTGAATTCGGTACTACACTTTCAGGATCATCCTCCTCCGCGCAAAGCCCAGATGAAGAACAGGGTACGGATCGAAGTAAATCCATTTCTCCTGTGGGGGAACACGTCTTGTGCCAAGCAAGAGAGTTGATTTTATCAAACATTTTGTTACAACGTTCAGTTTCCATGAGCCATTGACTTTCCTGATATGTCATACCAGTTACATTTTGTGTCCATATTGATTCTGTGGCATTCCCATAAAGATCCATAATAAACTCACCGTCAACCAAAACCAATGTAGCAATGTCTGTCAAATTATGTGCTGTAAGACAAAGAAAAATAAAATAAACATCTGCTTCATGCGATTTCCAAGTTTCATGGGTTATAGAATGATTAATTAAAGCTAATACTTAACAGAAATGTGAATTGGAAATATTAGTTAAGTTTTTTACTCTTATGTTCAGTGTTTCCTAGCAAACTCATAAGACATCAAGATATAAAGCATGAGTAAGTGATAAACACTACTCGCCATGACCATCTTAGATGACAACTTTCATAACATTTTTAAGTGATGAGGAATCTTGGGAAAGAGCACTTATCGACAACTGCTTTACTAAATTGTAGATCTACATAGTTAATTTTCATTTGAAGGTCCAAAAGTACAATTGATGGAGAACTAAGATATACCTATGTCCAAAATTCCTATGCACATTATTAGTGCGGTGTCAGCTACTTATACGAACAAACATAATTAATATATAGCGGGAATCGGGAGTGGGATACTTACCAGCAGAAGACCGAAATACAAAGAGGAGGAAGGAAAACAAAGAGTAATCGGAAGAACAACATGATTGGAAGAATGGTGGAATACGTAAGGAACAACTCGAAAATGTATTTACTGCATGATTTTGATATTTTACAAAAGCAGTTTGATTTTGCATAAAGCGATATATTGGTTTACCGTAAATGAGTTTTCATTCACTACATTAGAACTGAAATTAATTAATTACCCTAGACCCTTCATATACGAGCCCCGGTTAGGCACTGAACGACTACCGACTATTCTAAATGACCTGGTGAGACCGAGAGTGGGGAGAGTCAACCCTTCCTCTCGAAATGCTCTCACATGGCCACGTGCATACAACCACTGTCAGGAAAGTCCTACTCACTGCCTTCTCACGGCGGGGTGTTGCTTATAAAATTGATAGGACGAAAAGCGAATATCCGGCGCTTTTACCGGATTGGTGGACACGGAGAGTTCACCTAGGGGAGTTGGAAAACCCTGACTCCAAACCAATGGTGTACACGGGCTCCAGTATCCTGCCTGAGGGAACGAATGGCGTACGAACCTATTGTTGGTCACCGGCTACCATGGGACTGTATCTCCTGACGTTGCTCCACTGAATTGTGGATCAGACCGTTAGGTCGAAGGCCACGGGTGTGGCTCCCTAAGAAAACCACCTGCTTCGGTTTGGGCACCCGGGCAGTACCTCAAACCTCATGCAAATCGAATGATTTATGTGGCGCATATGTATTTGGTGCCTCCTTGTACCAATGTCGATGTGCTCAAATAAATAAATAAAATATTGGTTAGGTAAATTTGTTTCTGAAAAGTTTCATTACTCAGTAATGGAGAACAATTGAGGGGAAATTCGCCTACCTCCAATATTTCAACTTAATGAGCACTTGTCATTACTCTCCTCAGTCCAATGATGCATATGCCCAAACAGAGTTCTTAATCAAGAACATACAACACGCTCTTTACTACACTACACAAAATCATATATTTATGTCACAACAAAAGCAATGTCTATCATTATCAGTATAGACAATAAAATTATTTAATACACCTAATGAGCAACCAATCAACCAAGACATTGAAAAATAATACAAAAAGTACAAAAAGAACCAACTAGCAAGTGATGTAACTCACTATTTGACACGTTTTCGAGGTTCACTGTCCCATAAATATAACCCCGTGTAGCTTCAAGTTCATCTATTTGAGTCCGTTGAAAGCCAAACTTCGTCAAAAACAAATATCTGTTGGATGGATTCCATTTCCCTTTAAGACGTAATGTGTTTACCGCATCAGTGATTAATAGGACGGTTAAAATACCTATCTACAGAATAGAAACAAAGTATATAACCTTCAGTAACCTTGTTTGAAATGCTCGACACTTATGAACTTCTGCGTATATGATTTGTAAATTGGAAAATAACGTAAAAAAAACCCACAAGATCACAACTAAAGATTGGTTAGCAGAGAGTTTGCATACCTTTAACATTTAACAATACTACCCTCTTACTCGTCTGTGAATAAGCATAGTTTACCATTCATAAACGAGTTCTTTGGAAACACGAGCACCTATCTCTTGGAAACTACATCACTATAAAACCTTTTGGAATAAACTAAACACGTCAAATTATTTGAAAGGTGTAACCTTTATATGCGAAATTTATGACTAAATCATGTTTTCAGTCAATAAGAAACTAGGAAGTATTAAACCCACTCTACCACATTCACATAATTAAGCATCTTGATAACTCTAGTCTGCCGACCGTAGCTGCTACCTTGACGTGGTGGTCGGGTTCGCCTATCGTTATGATCCAACCGAGCTATATTGGCTGGAACATATGTTCCTGCAGGTTCTACTATGCCAGGCAGGTCGATTGGAGAACGGTAAAACTAAAAGCAGCAACTCAAGGTCTGAGGGCGAAGTCGTACTGCTGACTGTACAGAGGTGTGACAGCAGTAAGGTGTTTCCCTCCGACAACCAGCATCTGCAGCGACGCTGCCTTCTCACAAGGAAGGAAGGAGTTAGAAAAGGTCGACCCTAAATATGTCACACCTCACCTTACCCAACGGATTTCCGTCTCCGGCGGTAAGGCCCTTTGAAGAACGGAGCTAACACATTGAAAACTTCCCACAAAAAGGCCGTGCGCGACCGGCCTCAAGCAGTTGTCCCTCGGGCTCTGCGGTCACGCTCCCAAGTCTTTAAGACCAACACTAATCCGATTTCCTTTTCAGGTTCCTCAAGAAATACCCTTCCACTGTGTGGGCAGCCGGGAAGTGACATCAGCCCTCATACCCGTAACAGCACACAAGACCAAGTTGGTCACATTCAAATCCTTCCTACACCTAATAACTCTCTTATCTCCACGACTAACCCTTCTCACGTCCCTTGATCACCTCACCCCGCTAGTGCAAACGATTCGAGTACGCAGAACGTTATTCATGGTCTCCTGAAACCACGCGCTAAACTACACGTAGGAGCTTTCAACGTCCGAACACTGTGCCAAATAGGACACCAGGCCTCCTCAGCTAAGACTTTAGAATCTCGCTCCATCAATGTGTGCTGCGTCTCCGAAACGCGCACACAGGATCCGAGTAGTGTCATTCATTTAACCTCACCATGTTAAAGTAACGAACCAACTCGATTTACGCTTCGTGTATCTGGAAGCCCTGATGCTGCTTCCCCTGGCCTCACTGGCGTAGGTATAGCATTGAGTCCTAGGGCAGAACTAGCTCTCTTAGACTGGATCCCAGTAGACAGTGGTTTGTGCGCTGTCCGACTAAACGGAGCAGTAAGGACTCGAAAAGATAGGGACACTCGTCGTTGCCTCTTCGTCGTCTCTGCCTACTCTCCTACTAACTGCAGCTCAGATAATGTAAAGGATGAGTTTTGCAGAAAGCTTTCCGACCTTCTCCGAAAAGCTAGGCGCTCTGATGTAGTAATAGTGGCTGGTGACTTTAATGCTCAAGTAGGTAAACTAAGCGGAAGGGAAATACACCTGGGTGGATCTTATGGTGTCGCGGCTCAAAGAACGGATAATGGCGACGGTCTGTTACAGCTATGCTCAGATAACCACCTGTTTCTTGCAAACACCAACTTCAAGCATAAGGAAAAATATCTTTTAACATGGCGACCCCCTAATTCGTCCCAACACTGGACCCAAATAGATCACATCGCTATCAGCCACTGATGGAGGGGCTCGATAGAAGACTGTCGCTCATTCTGGAGCACATGCTTAGACTCAGATCACGCTCTAGTGCGAGCGCGTATTTGTCTACGTCTTACTGAACCTGAATATCTGATCCACAAGGCAGTGGAGCATCGTAAGGAGATGCAGTCCCATGGTAGCCGGTGACCAACGATTGGTTCATACGCCATTCGTTCCCACAGGATACTGGAGCCCATGTGCACCATTGATTTGGGATCCGGTTAAAGCGCCGGATATTCGCTTTTCGTCCTCTCATTTTCGTAAATAACACCCCCGCCACGAGAAGATAGTGAGTAGGACTTCCCTGGCAGAGGCTATATACGCGTGGCCATGTGAGAGCATTTCGAGGGGAAGGGCGGACTCGGCCCCCCTCTCGGCTGTACCAGGGCATTTGGGGGCTCCAGTCTACGTGAATGGCAAGTTAATATAAGTCCTCCGACTCTTTACAAAGCTGAAGAAGCTATAGGTAATCTAAAGCGTGGGAGAGCAGCAGGCCCCAACAGGTTTACACCTGAGATTTTTAAGGATGGTGGTCCAGTATTAGCAGCGAGATTGACTGAGGTCTTAGGTAGAATCTGGGAACTGGACGTAATCTTATCTGACTGGTCTCAATCACTGATTGTGCCAGTCTATAAGAAAGGACAAAAGTCCTCTTGTGACAATCACAGAGGTATTAGTTTGACTAATATAGTGTCTAAAATATTAGCTTCAATAATACTTCGACGCCTAACCAAAGCTCGTGAAGAGCAGACTAGAGAAAACCAGGCTGGTTTTCCGACCTGGACGTGGTTGTATAGACCAAATAATCACACTACGTCAGGTCCTAGAACATAGACACACATTCAGACGCCCCACAATCGTAGTATTTCTCGACTTTAAGGCGGCATTCGACTCTGTTGATCGTGAGGTTCTATGGCAGTATTTGTCACTGAACGGAGTACCAAAGAAGTACATTAACCTTATAAAGGCTCTCTACTCGAACACAACTGGTAGGGTGAGAGCTTATGGTAAACTGTCATCAGAACTGATTACTTCAAGTGGTGTTCGTCAGGGCTGTCCACTCTCTCCATTCTTGTTTAACTTTATCATTGACGTCCTTTTAGAGATGACACTTTCCTCATCTAAATTTCTAGGAGTTGAACTTCTACCGGGAGATCCACTTGTTGACTTAGAATATGCCGATGACGTAGTTCTATTTAGTGAAGACGCTGACAAAATGCAGAATCTGCTGACCATTCTGAGCAACAATGCAGGCATGTTCGGGATGCGATTCTCTCCCTCAAAATGCAAAATGTTGCTTCACGATTGGGTTTCATCGACACCCGAACTAGTGATAGGAAGTGAAGTAGTTGAGCGTGTCGACCGCTTCACTTATCTTGGAAGTCTCATCAGCCCTTGTGGTCTGGTGTGTGACGAAATCTCAGCACGGATACAGAAGGCTCGACTAGCTTTTTCCAACTTGCGTCATTTGTGGCGTAGGCGCAGCAGTTCGTTCCGTCCTACTTTGTGGCAGTGGAACGTGGCCAGTAAGAGTAGAGGATACTTGTAGGTTACTAGTATTTGACCATAGGTGTCTACGAAGCATTACTCGTACATCCTGGGGCCACCAAGTAAGTAATGCAGTGGTTATGAAACGGGTACTAGGTAAGGATGGCAAATCAATTGAGGAAGTAGTGAAACTTCATCAGTTGAGATAGCTGGGACATGTGTTGCGCATGCCTGACTACCGACTGCCCCGACGTGCTATGTTTTATGGTGTAGGAGTAGGTTGGAAGAAAGCTAGGGGCGGCCAGACCAAAACATGGCACAAATCCACGAATTCACAGACAAGTGGACTGAGCCATGTTGGTAGGTGTAGACTACTTGGTTGGGGTCCGCGAGATGATAGCAACCGATGATTAGAGACCTTGAATGACATGGCTCAAAATCGTTTGCAATGGTGCAGGTGCATCCACTCTTTGTGTTCTCCCAAACTCTAATCTTCTGAATTCTTCATGTCCTTTACTCTCTTTCCAAATCTATTCCACTGGACTATATTCCATGAATAACATCATCAAACCTTACTGTTCCCTATTACTACTTATACTATCACTACCTCTACCACTACGAGATTTGAATCGATAACTGCATCTTTGTGCTAATGTGGTATAGTAACTCGAACTGATGTACGTACGTACGAAGTTCCACGTTGTTACTGACTGACTGACTAATTCTAGTCTCATTTGCGTAGCACTTAGCAGTTGAAGTATTTAATTTCCCTTATTATCATTTACAATGTAGATAGGGGGCATTTGCGTTTAGACTATGGTAGTAGTTTCCTAATGAATATTTGTTCTTATCTCCCGGCAACCATGAGTTGGCTATGAATTCCATTTGTAAAAATTATGGTCGTATTTAGCAATTTAGTTTTTAGACCAATTCGAGATATTTTCCAATAAATAACATGACATACATAATGAAACCGGAAAAAGTGGCTGGATTTACATTAATCGGGACGGCATCAAAAACAGAAAACCGTCAGTACAAACTTAGAACTTGCATGTATAAACGTCGATTCATCATACCCTATTAGCATAGAGATGAAGTTGTCAGGTGAAATCCCAGAACAGTAGAAATAGTAACAGTACCAGTGGTAATAGTTTTATTCATTTATTTGTTTAAACACATAAACATTGGTACAAGGAGGCACCAAATACATATGCGCCACATAAATCATTCGATTTGCATGAGGTTTGAGGTACTGCCCGGGTGCCCAAACCGAAACAGGCGGTTTTCTTAGGGAGCCACACCCGTGGCCTTCGACCTAACGGTCTGATCCACAATTCAGTGGAGCAACGTCAGGAGATACAGTCCCATGGTAGCCGGTGACCAACAATAGGTTCGTACGCCATTCGTTCCCTCAGGCAGGATACTGGAGCCCGTGTACACCATTGGTTTGGAGTCAGGGTTTTCCAACTCCCCTAGGTGAACTCTCCGTGTCCACCAATCCGGTAAAAGCGCCGGATATTCGCTTTTCGTCCTATCAATTTTATAAGCAACACCCCGCCGTGAGAAGGCAGTGAGTAGGACTTTCCTGACAGTGGTTGTATGCACGTGGCCATGTGAGAGCATTTCGAGAGGAAGGGTTGACTCTCCCCACTCTCGGACTTACCAGGTCATTTGGGGGTTGTGGTAATAGTAAAGATTAGGTATCGAGGATATGACTCGAGAATAAAATATAAATTAATGAAATGGAAATAAATATAGGTTATGAGGAATTTAGAATCTGAGTTTGGGGAAAGACAGAGAATAGATGCATCTGCGCCACTGCATACGATTTTGAGCCATGTCATTCAAAGTCTCTAGACAGTGGTTACGATAATAACGCAGACCCCAACCAGGTAGCCTATACCCATTGACATGGCTAAGTTCGGTTGTCAATGACTTCTTGGATAGACACCATGTTTCGGTTTGGTCGCCCCTAGTTTTCTTAGACTACTGCACTAGAAAAAAACAGTAAACACTATAGGTCATCAAGATGAACACAAATCATACAACTCATAACTGCAACTGCACAGCCTCTTTGAAGCCAAAAGTGTAGAGCTTTTATTTATGTGAAGAGAATTTAAACAAGGATATAGGTATAACTAATACGGGTTCTTACAACAACACATGTCAACATGAACAAGTGCGAAATCTGAAGAAAAACGAGGATGCAAGTTTACGAATAATTATCACAAACGATATTAGACACTCTAGAATGGCTCAAGTGGTTTTTGAACGTAATAATGAATCTTCAACTAAAACCAGATTTAGAAAATAGAAGTCTTTACGGTTTACACACTCACGACACCTTGCAAGCTTTGTTATTAATCACTTAATAGGCTTGATATTGTTAAATATTAATTGTTTGAACAAACTAAACTACAGAAACCCGTGGATCGATACTAATTATTACTGGGGATTATGTTGACAAATGGCTTACTTCGATTCTCCATTGTTTTTTACAGTATATTGTCATGATTACAAACTCCTGCAAGCAAATATACTTTTGAGTCTTCAGATGTAAAGGTAGATCGAGTGGTTGATGTCAGTTTTTGTGACCTGTAGTACTATGGAGATCAGCCTCATTTTGAATGCATTGACAGGTGTCGATGTGCAGTTTTGGTAGGGAAATCCAGTAATTTACTACCCACTGAGGAAAGCGAAACACAATTCGAGAACGATATGATCTAAATTTTTGAACCTTCAAGCAATGGTTTTTCAGATCGTCAGTCCTAGAGGGAAGTCTCTATTACTTTATTATAATAATTTGGAGGGTGATACCGTTGGGAGAAAATCTATAGACGTGGGGTATCTTGGAAGAATATTCCCTCAAAGCTCCCATATAAATTTAGGTGTGTTTATGGCAAGATGTGTTGATTTTTGGAAGAAAACAGCAACATCTTGGAAAATAAAGAATGCTTCCCGGGTAGACAAAGAAAAATACAATCTAAATTATCCTTTTATTACCTCATAATTCTCCTCTCTATTTTGAGGGAACTTTGAGGAATTCCAGACAAATTTTGGGGATCTCCCCGAAGTCGAGAAGGGTTTGGTAGTTCCCCACAAACTTTGGGGAAATTTTAGGGAAAACCCTCAGTGTTATGAGATTCTGGGGAAATATCGCGGAGAACCCAAAATTTCCCGATATTTTTGGGATATTCCTCGGATTTTGTGCTATTTTTTAAAGTTTTATATTGCGGCTTCCCCAAAGTTTACCAGAAACGGACAAAATTGTCCCCAAAATAAAGAGATTAGGTTGCACTATTTTCCCAAAAAAAATCACCCCAAACTTACAAAAATAAGTTAAGCTACTGACATATGATCGCCTATAAACGTGCTAAATTTCGTTTAGGAATATCGCCTATATTTCTCTATAGTTCGTCCTCATTTTCCTTTATTGTTTGATCGGGTTGAGACTACAACACAGATTTTTCGTGATAACACTTTCGGTTGAGAATGTCTTCTTTTTAATTTTAAATTGAACGCAGAACAAGATAAATAGGTTACTTACTCGAAGCATACCCATTAGTAGGAGCTACACTGTTTGTGTAGGCACCGGAGGATCATTGGAGTAGAGATAAGAGACATACTAGCCGCGAAAAACTTTCACTATTCATTAACAAGAGTAGAAGGTCAAAAGACTTAAGTTAAATCTCCTGATTGGTTGGTGGTAAAAGCGTTCAAATCAGAGGTACATATATTTCGCGTGCCGGTAAAGAATCCTAGTAATTTGCACGTCAATATGAACAAGTAACTTAAACGTGAAAACTTAATCACAGTTGTCTGCAACAACTTTATGATCGATGATCCCAAACTCATTCAAACCGGTAGTCAGAAACGAGGGAGTCCGAAGATATATCTGTAAGATAGTCAATATGCCGAGAAACATGTAATCTAAGCTGACTAGTTGTTGTGACGAATGCGTGGCACGACGTGACCAAACGCCTTCAGATAGAGTAGCTTCAGTAACATTGTTGAGGTTAGCATGAATGTCAGAAACTTACAGAACTTTGGGGGGTATTTACCATTACAAAGGTTTTCCTTGTCGGGCGTTCCTAAAGAATAAGTTACCTGGGTGAAAAGGTGTTGTAACTGTAAATAAATCCCCAACATCAATAGCTCTGTAAGTCTTTGGCATTGGATGCTGACCACATTAGTTTTGAAGGACTCACCTAGCTGAAAACGCTCGATCATGCATCCGAATCAGAGCACGAGCATGAACGCCGTACTCAAATTCTCTTGCAATCGCTAGCCAGTTTAGATCAGTCGCTCCTCGAAATATTGATAGCCTACCAAATATATCTTCGAACCTCCTTGCTTCTGTCTTTTGATCTCACTGGGTGGACACGATTCATTATAGAAGGTGTTACTGGCTAAAGTGATGTCAAATTACAAATACCTGCGGCATTTTCAGTGTGCTTCTTAGACTTCTCTATGTCAGAATTTCTAGGCTATTGTTATTTTAACTGTGTGTGAAAGACCCTTCTAATCTCTTGCCATTACGAGAGTCACTATATGCTGACCATATTATGACATGAAGGGTGATAAAAAATGAAGGTGATAGTTTAGAACTTCAAAAAATCCTGCAAAAATTATGCGAATTATTTGGAAGTTTTCATTTATTGGTTCATTATTACAAGTACATCCTATTGTTTGTCGGTCATAGTGGCACAAGCACATACAGAAAATATAGCGTCGGGTTATCCGTCCTTCAGACACATACTAATGTAGAAGTCCTTGTCAGTTAAGGACTGAAATGTTCTTCTCAATATGATGGTATTGTTGCTTACCAACTAAATTTGGATTGATGAATATTTGTCTAGGTTAGTTAAGATACACTCCATCACTCAGTTGAAACCAAAATAAGGTAGTTGGGTAAATGATGGTTCTAAACAAATATTACCACCCAGTTATCCAACCGATAATTGTTCAATCAGTAGTCAAATCAAGTGCAACAAATATATGTTACTCTATCCTCTCTGAATGGATCATCTACAAATCGTTCGAAAGATAATGTTTAATTTCATTCCAACACGGAGAATTTCCGACTATTGAAGTGATTTAATTCACAATCAAAAAATGATCAACAATAAAGGAGTGCGAATTAAAATGGCTGCCTCCGTGACTGAATCAACTAAAACAACATAAATGTAGTTCGAAATAAAACATGGAAATGCGCTGAAGACGCAAGGAAAACAAAAAGTGCGAGAAAGTACGAATGGCACCATCTCAAATGAAATCAAGCAAACCAACAGAATATTAACCTAAAGGAATCAAAAGGAAAAAGTCACTAATGTGTGCATTGATAGGTTTACATAAACAAAATCTTCAAAAAAAGCCTACAGTCATAGTTATCGAAACTTCTCGAATGATCTGTTTAATGTACATAAATGTTAGCCAAGTAGATACTAAAACCCTCATGACTTTCCACAAAGTGTTCGTTCGACCTAAACCAGAACAACGCATACAAGCGACCAGCCCTGACAGGGAGCTGTAGGAACACGTCGAAGGAACTACAGCTAAGCTGAACCGTAAAGCTGCCATATGGTTACAGATTGGCCAAAATAATCCATCTCCGTTTGCAAAATAGTAAGACCACAGGTGACTTATTCAGTCTTTCAATTAATTAGTGATAAGTTTGTACATGAAATTCCCCCATTCTTCCTAACTTTCAGAACAGTAAATAAACTTGGACACTCCAAAATGATCCCATTCTTGGAACAGACTGCTTGTCAACAGTTGTATATGAAGCGGAGGAAACTTCCTCTTAACTGGCTTCCGTCTCTAGTAGCAGTGGATCACTGATGCCCCTAGATAGGAACTTACGTATATTTTACTATGAAATGAGAAATATTGGTATATTATAATGAAATATAGTCCTTAATCGTTAAGGGTATGCCAGGTTTATTCTTGAAGGATTACTGTGAGTGTAACGAAAAGAGAACGATGAAAATCCCTCCACAGCCTTTTTTGTTGGACAATATTTTTATTTATTTGTTTCTTCTCCCTGTCATATATTTTAACCTTTGTTTAGATCTCGTTTGAGCTTTTATTATGTGATTTTGATTAAAAACTTATCTTTTTGTTACCTAATTTTTTATTGCATGTTGCCGGACTATTGGCAGTGAGGTCGTGTTTGACTAAGCTCAAGGTCACGGCGTGATTCAGTCTGACTGTTAGCCTTTTGACTGTCTGCTTGGGAGGATTTCTGGAATCCCTGCAGACAGATATTTGATCCCGTTTGTTGGGAATATATTTGTTGATTCTCAGGTATCAAATCCTTTGGTATTTACTGTTTATTTTATTGTTTAGTGCACTACTTTGCGTCAGAGAAACTTCTGACTGTATAGCACAGGCTGTACCGTTTGAGGTATTTTGTATGTTTGATATAATTTGTTCTATTTCTTAAATTAGAACCGTATAAATTGAGCACAGAATTTGTGTTTTGATATAATTTAATACGAGTGTCTCAAAAACGCTTGGCGAGCTATACAGAAGGTCGTAGTCTGACCTATTCACATACGTTTTGGTTCGTCAGTCCTACGTTCAGCCCGAATAGTTGTAGTTCGGTTGTTAAAGTGAGGTCACTTGGACTAATGCATTACATTATTTGAATACTCACAATTAGTAGAAGTTGTGTCTACCATCCATTTCGCTAGGTTGTTTCTCTAATTTCTATGTGTCACCCCCAGACATTATATCGGAAGTGAGCTTGAGTGGGCTTTTAAGGGGTTGACCGGAAGTATCTGGGACGCCGTAAGTCATCAAAAAATCACCTCTAGTATTTTTATACTCTAATGGTTGCGGCAGTATGCATAAGAATTTAACTTAAATTCCCGAAGTAATTTTGTGCCTTGCCTTCTGATACATTAAAGCGTATTATCATCCTTTTGGATTAAAGGAGAAAACACTATATTTCCACACTCTAAATGGGGCCGAACAAACCTGCCACAGATTTAGCCGAAATTCCTGCCGTCAAACTGGCAAAAATGGGCTTCAACGTCACCAATGCATGGTTTTCTCGAAAGGTATTTTTGTCGCAGTTATTGTAGGACTTAAAATGACAAGTAACCAAGACTATGTGGTCTTTTTTCATTTGTGATACTTCTAGATGGAAGTTATCTAAACTATATGCGTGGTCTGAGACACGTTTGAAAAGGGCCGAAAACTTAATTACTTGTGGTATATACCGCAGTCCTGATCAAACAGGTATGAAAGCCTCATGCATGAGGCTACTATGGTAGGCGACTTTAATGCACCATTTTTAAATAAAGATACTGATCAGTAGGGTCGTCAAAAACATCGTTGGATCAAAAGTTGTTAGGAACCACGATCACCCTACCTTTGTTTCAGTGCATTAGATATTCCGTCATATGTGACCTACAAAACTCCTCGTCTGTCTTGAACTCAGCCGACCCTTCCTGATATGTGGGAGGCAGACATGAAATCGATCAACTCTGTAGCCTTTTCCGAAAACCAGAAGTCGACTCAGGTGAGTCAGTAGAAGAGATATGGGTACGTATCCGGCAGTTATACAATCCAATAACTCAACCGTTTATACCCTGGACAGTCACGGAGAAGAAGAAACACAGCCATCCTTGGGTAGACGGGAATATTCGACGCTTACCGAGACAAAAGAATGAGTCTTGGAACGATGCCATCAGTCTTGGCGCAGCAAGTACTATAGAACTCTACAGGCCGGTAAGAAATAAGTGTAAGCTTAAAATCCGGAAAGCTCGGAGAAAATATGAAATGCAGTTGACACAATCTGCAATCAAGCAGCCTAAGAGACTATTCTTGTACATAAGATAAAGAACGAGGACTCAGTATTGCATTCCCAAACTAATTACCGAAGGGATTGAATCGGAAATGATAGGTGATTATCAGGAAAAAGCATATGCTATGCAACTAATTTAGGGGAATTTCTCACTCAGGAGCCTCTTCTAGGCGGAGAACTAGACCTAAATACAAAGTCAACAAACCATCTGCTCATCGTGAACTTTGATAAAGACGATGTACTTAGGGCTTTTAACACTCTAAGACCGGATGAACTACATTCCAAAATCCTAGACGTATTGCACAATATATTGCAGCCCCACTATCTGTGGTATTTAACATGCCAATTGGCCAACATGTGTTACTTACGGACTGGAGGGATGCAATCGCCACTCCCATACATAAAACAAGACCAAGACAGCGTCCATCGGACTACAGACCCGTCAGCCTCACCAGTGTAGCGGTTAATATACTGGAAAGAATGGCCAAAAAGACCATAATGACATTTCTGGAAACCACCGACTTGTTAAACAGCGAACAACATGGTTTCAGAAAAGGTTTATGGTGCACAACAAACCTCCTTATAGCAAGGTAGTATTGGACAAAGACTCTAGACAATGGAAAATCAATGAGTGTTTACATAGATTTTAGTAAAGCATTTGATAGGGTGACAACAAATAGACTACACTTGAAGCTGGAAAATCTAGGCATTGCCAGACCTGTTTTAAAATGGATTAAGGATTTCCTCGTAGGTCGTATACATGTGCTCCACCTAGAGACCAATACTTAGTGGAGTACCACGAGGTTCTGTCCTAGATCCTTTGCTTTTTTACAGTCTG